AATGGACAGCAGAGATGCTCCCATATCCCAACCCCACTGTCTGCTCCACATTAGTTCCATGGGCTCTTCGCAATGTCAGGACTTGTGCAGGTCTGAGCTCCTTAGTGAGAGGAGCTCTAGGGACAGTCGGCATCGAGTGTCAGTGCAGACGGCCAAGGAGATTGTGCAGCTCATGCCCAGCTGCAGCTCCAGGAGGCCGTGGCAGTCCCGGTTGCTCCAGGAGAGCAGCAGACACTTGCACAGCTCTTGGAGCTTCCCTGTCCCTTCCAGAGCCCAGCGGTGGGTGTGTGTGTGCAGCTGCCTCCCTCTCCCCATCCCGACTGGTCACAGGGGCAGCTTAGGCAGGAAGCCCCCGTGCAGAGAGACATCAACTGTGGTGCAGGGGAAACCTCCTGTGAGTGTGTGGAGCGCAGAGGAGGGAGCTGAATCCCACTGTATCCAGGAGCTTCTCGAGGGGCACTGGGTGCATTGATGAACTCCCTGTGAGGAGCCCATGGAGCAGGAGGACATGAAGCAGCTCCCGCTCCTGTGCAGCTGCCCTGTCCTCTTATGAGATGACAGCAGAGGCTTCTGCAGTAGGACATTTACCTCTCACAGGTGATCATCCCCTGATGAGACTGCAAGGCTGAACTCCAGGCTCTCAGAATCTCCTTCTTTGGCTTAGAAAGGCACCATTGGTGATCATTTTAGATTGCTTCAGTGGAGATTTGCTGGGGATGACCCCATGGCCTTGCAGGACCTGTTTCCCCTGGGTGCCTTCATGCAGTGCTGTGGGGAGAAGCTCTGAGTGGACAGGCAAGTCCCAGCAGGGCAGGTTCATTCTCTGCTTAGGAGGGTGCTGCATGGTTTAGGGTTGCACATTATGGTTAGCATTAGGTTTAGGGGCTAGGGTAAGGGGTACGGGTAGGGATACATTGTGGTTTAGGGTTAGATTTAGGGTTAAGATTAGGATTATTTTATGGTTAGGGTTTGGTGTTAGGGCTATAGGTTAGCGTTAGGGTTAGGCTAGCGTTATGGTTAGGGGTTAGGGTTAGTGTTGGGTTAGGATTTAGGGGTAGGGGCATGCAGGAGGCTTAGGGTTAGTGTCAGGTTTAGGGTTAGTGTTGGGTTAGGATTTGTTTTAGTTCAGGGTTAAGCTTTGAAGTTTAGATTAGGTTTAGGAATAGGGGGTTAGGTTAGGTTTAGTGTTAGGGTTAAGTACTGGGTACACTTGGGTTAAGTTTAGTTTTACAGTTATGATTAAATTTATGGTTAGAGGTTTAAGTTTAGGGCTGAGGTTACTGTTTGCAGTAGGGCTTATGGTTGTGGTTTGGATTTAGTTATGGTTAGGGTAAATTTTAGGTTAGGGTTAGAGATTTAGAGTTAAATTCAGGGTTATGATTATGGTTAGGGTTAGGGTTAAGGTTAGAGTTTGGGTCAGGGCTAAATATGAGTTAGAGTTAGGGGTTCAGGTACTGGATAGGGCTTGAGTTAGTGTTACAGTCCAGGTAGTGTTTGGTGTTAGGGTTATGATTTGTGGTAGGCTTACAGTTAGGGTTAGGGATTAATCCTAGGCTTTAGGGATAGGGTTAGCATGAGGGTTGGGGATATCCTTAAGGTATTCATTGGTGTTAGGGTTGGGTGTTATTACTAGGGTTTATGTTAGAGTTATGTTAGGCTGAGGATTAGAGTTAGAGTTGGGGTTAGGTTTGGGGGGAATGTTTAGGGGATATGGTTTGTGTTCTGGGCTACCATTAGGCTTTGGGATTAGGATTAGGGTTAGGGTTAAGGATAGAATTAGCATTAGGGTTATGGTTTGGAATTGGGTTAGGTTAGAATAAGGGTTAGTATTAAGGATATAGATTAGGGTTATTATTATAGATGAGAGAAAAGGGATTAGAGTTAGAGTTAAGGATAGGCTAGGGTAAGGGTTAGTTTTACGTTAGGGTTAGGCTGAGAAGTTTAGGGTTAGATTAGAATTAGGGCTGGGGTTATCATAGAATCATAGAATCACAGAATGCTTAAGGTTGGAAGGGACCTCAGAGGTCATCTAGTCTAAACCCCCTACTCACGCAGGGTCACCTAGAGCACGGGGCACAGGACTGCATCCAAGCGGGTTTTGAACATCTCCAGAGAAGGAGACTCCACAGTCCCCCTGGGCAGCCTGTTCCAGGGCTCTGCCACTCTCACTGTCAAGAAGTGTTTTCTTAACTTCTGTGGAACTTTTGGTGCCTCAGCTTGTGGCCGTTTACCTCTAGGCCTCTCACTGGCCAGCACTGAAAAGAGGCTAGCCCCCTCCTCCTCACTGCCTCCCTTGAGGTATTTATACACACTGATCAAGTCCCCCTCATCCTTCTCTTCTCCAGGCTGAACATGCCCACCTCTCTCAGCCTTTGCTCATAGGGCAGATGTTCCAGGCCCCTGATCATCCTCGTAGCCCTGCGCTGGACTCTCTCCAGCAGCTCCACAKCCCTCTTGTCCTGGGGAGCCCAGAACTGGACACAGTACTCCAGATGTGGCCTTACCAGGGCTGTGTATAGGGGGACAATCACCTCCCTCGACCTGCTGGAGACACTCTTCTTAATGCACCCCAGGATCCTGTTGGCCTTTTTGGGCACCAGGGCACACTGCTGCCTCATGGTCATCTTGTCATCCACCACGATGCCGAGGTCCCTCTCTGCAGGGCTGCTCTCCAACAGGTCGACCCCTAATCTGTACTGGTGTCCAGGGTTATTCCTCCCCAAGTGCAGGACCCTGCACTTGCCCTTGTTGAACCTCATGAGATTTCTCACCGCCCAGTCGTCCAATCTGTCCAGGGTCCTCTGGATGGCAGCACAGCCCTCAGGGCTATCAGCGACTCCTCCCAGTTTGGTATCATCAGCAAACTTGCTGAGGGAGCACTCCATCCCTTCATCCAGGTTGTTAATGAATAAGTTGAACAGGACCGGACCGAGGACCGACCCCTGGGGGACACCGCTGACTACAGGTCTCCAACTAGACTCTGCGCCACTGACTACCACTCTCTGCACCCTGCCACTGAGCCAATTCCTAATCCACCTTCCCGCCCACTCATCTATCCCACACCTTTGGAGCTCGCTCAGGAAGATGCTGTGAGGGTCGGTGTCAAAAGCCTTGCTGAAGTCCAGATAGACGACATCCACCGCTCTGCCCTCATCTATCCAGCTAGATATTCCTTCGTAGAAGGTGATCAGGTTAGTCAAGCAGGATTTCCCCTTGGTGAATCCATGCTGGCTACTCCTGAGCACCTTCTTCTCCTCCATGTGTCTGGAGAGAGCAGCCAGGATGAGCTGTTCCATCACTTTCCCGGGGATGGAGGTGAGGCTCACCGGCCTGTAGTTGCCCGGGTCCTCCTTCTTGCCCTTTTTGAAGACCGGAGTGACGTTGGCTTTCTTCCAATCCTCTGGCACCTCCCCCGTTCTCCAGGACCGTCCGAAGATGATGGTGAGCGGCTCGGTTATGACATCCGCCAGTTCCCTCAACACCCTGGGGTGCATCCCATCAGGGCCCATGGATTTGTGGGTGTTGAGTTTCCTTAGGTGCTCTCTGACCCACTCTTCCTCTACCCGGGGCAAGCCTTCCTCTCTCCACCTCACTTCTTGTGTCCCCTAGGGCCTGGGATTCTAGAGGGCTGCCCCTGACAAACACCGAAGCAAAGGCGACATTCAGCAGCTCTGCTTTCTCCATGTTTTCTGTAACCAGGGTACCCACCCCGGTCACTAGTGGACCCACATTCTCCCTAACCTTCCTCTTGTTGTTAATATATTTGAAAAAGTTTTTCTTGTTGCTCTTAACATCCCTTGCCAGATTTAGTTCCAAGTGTACCTTGGCTTTCCTTGTAGCATCCCTGCATTCCCTAACAATGCTCCTGTATTTCTCCCAAGGGGTCTGTCCTTTCTTCCACATTCTGTATACTGCCTTCTGCTGGAGTTTTGCCAGGAGCTCCCTGCTCATCCACGCAGGTCTCCTGCCCCCTCTGCCTGACTTCTTGACATTCTACCTCTGACATTCTACCTCTCTTTTTGGCAGAGTGGAGGCCGTGCCTGTATATCAGATGCCATTTGTGCTCTCCAGTCCTGCCAAGGCAGTTTTTTCCCTTGATGCTTGGCTGTTCTCTATCTCTTCATGCAGCTGGTTATTTGTGCAGAGATATCCCTGCTCCCTCAAGAGCCCTTTCCCAGGGTGGATCCTAATGGATGGTCTGCTTGGAAGTTCCTGGAGCCTCCTAGTGCTCCCTACAGGACCCCAAGATGTTGGTGCTGCTCTGCAGAGTGAGTGGGATGGGGYGCTCTGGGGTCACAGGGTGACTGCAGCGCTTGTGGTGGTCGGGGTTGGACACAGGCCCAGCTGGACGGGCATCATTGTGCCTGAGAACACCATATGAAGGGGCTTGTGGCTTTGAATGAAGCTCTGAGCAATCACAGGACATTTCAAGTGGCTCAGGCTGTGTTCAGGTGTGTCCCTACATACAGACCATGGTTTCAGGTATAAGGTATCACAAATGGCTTTTGCACCTCCCTTCCCTGTCCCTGCGAGGTCCCCACTGTGAGCATCTGTCACCATATAGGAGACAGTGCCAGGCAGATTCTACTAGGCCATTCATCACTGTTGAGAGCACTGAGCACTCACAAGTGAGAACTGAATCCAGTCCTTAACATCACCCATGAGCTCATTGACTTGAGCCCATGAAAAGCCCCAGAAAAGCAACAAGCACTTTTCAGATTGAAATTGGCACCAGTTTTGGAAGAAAAGCCTAATACACAAGTTGCACTGAAAAGAATCCCTTTTATTAGAGMGAGGACAGCTCTGACACACTGATAGACGCATTTAAAGAAGTGCTGTGTCTGTTTTGTTCAGAAAGACACAGCTAACACCTCTGCAAAAGTGGAATAAATCCAGAAATTTCATTTTAAAAAAACCCCTCATTATTGCAGCAAGAATGCCCAAATCATAGGGGGAGTCTGAAATGAAATGGGTATCACTTGAGTAGAGAGGTGGGCAGCTTACTGAATTACCAACTGAATCATCTTGTACAGTGCATTTCCGAGTTCCTTGTTCCTCATGCTGTAGATGAGAGGGTTCACTACTGGAGGGAGAACTGAGTACAGAACAGCTACAACCACATCCAGAGATGGGGAGGAGATGGAGGGTGGCTTCAGGTAGGCAAACAGACCAATGCTGACAACCAGAGAGACCACAGCCATGTGAGGGAGRCACATGGAAAAGGCTTTGTGGCGGCCCTGCTCAGAGGGGATCCTCAGCACAGCTCTGAAGATCTGCACATAGGACACCACAATGAAAACGAAACACCCAAAGCATAAACAAAGACTAACCACAATAACTCCAACTTCTCTGAGGTAAGAGTCTGAACAGGAGAGCTTGAGGATCTGGGGGATCTCACAGAAGAACTGCTCCACCACATTGCCTTGGCAGAGTGGAATGGAAAATGTGTTCCCAGTGTGCAGAAGAGCATAGGGAAAACTAGATGCCCAGGCAGCTGCTGCCATTTTGACACAACTTCTGCTGTCCAGGAGGGTCCCATAGTGCAGGGGTCTGCAGATGGCAACATAGCGGTCATAGGCCATGACAGTGAGAAGAGAATATTCTGCTGACATGAAAAAGGCAAACAGAAAGACCTGTGTAACACATCCCCAGTAGGAAATGGCCCTGGTGTTGCACAGGGAACTGGCTATGGATTTGGGGACAGTGGTGGAGATGGAGCCAAGGTCCAGGAGGCAGAGGTTGAAGAGGAAGAAGTACATGGGGGTGTGGAGGTGGTGGTCGCAGACTATGGCTGTGATGATGAGGGCGTTGGCCAGGAGGGCAGCCAGGTAGATGGCCAGGAAGAGGGAGAAGTGCAAGAGCTGCAGCTCCCGCGTGTTCGTGAATGGCAGGAGGAGGAACCTGTTGAAGGAGGTGCTGTTGGACATTTCCTCTTGGTTCACATCACTGTTCAATAAGGAAAAAGCATGAGCAATTTAGAAAGGACTTCTCTGAGCAAAATTCATTCTGCTTTTCGTAGTACTCACCAAATGGCCTCCCTCCTTGACCTTGTTCAGCTCCCTTGTCTGACCTCTGGTTTGTGCTGGCTGAGCGTGCTCTTTGACTCCACAGCATTCAGTCCTACACTTTGGGAAGGTGTAGAAATGCCAAGGGAAATTAAGTGGTAACACACAGGTCAGCTCTGAGGAAAGCCTTCACCTCCCCAAGCTGTGCACACCACCACCCAGATGGCAACACCTCAGGACAGACCCTCTCAGTGCCCTTCCCCTGCAGTGGGAAAGGACCAGGCTGCAGGAGAGACCCAGCCCCTCTTCCACCAAGGACAGGGCTCATGATTGTCATACTATGGACTTGAGGGCTGGGAGAGGAGACATGGGGCTTTGCCAAGAAGATGGTGTCGACTTTGCAGGGACTGACCAAGGTTGATCCAAATCCTCCGTCATAACGGTTGCTTTTCTAGATCCCCCCCATTCACTGATCCTGTCTCCACAAATGGAGGTTTTTCCTGCTGGCAGCTGCTCCTCTCCCCCACATCTTCTCCCTGTCACTGCCACACACCCCATCCCACCCCCAGGCACTCACTCTGCCCTACAACAGTATCTAGCAGCAGGGTGCTGGCCAGGGACATCTCCATGTATGTGGGTGGGAGGAACCAGGGTCACACAGACTCTGCTGAGGCCACACAAGGGGATGCTGCTGCTGTCTGCAGTCAGGGGAGGGCACAGGGGCTTGCTGAGTTTCCTCACACATCTCTCCATGGAAAGGACTAGAGGGTCAGGTTCCTGCTCTCACCTGGCATTTCCTTTCCATACACCCCCAGCTCTTCACAACCACAAGGACACAGGGAATCTCCTCATCTTTAACATTAACTGCCTGCACTGTCCTTTTCAAAAGGCCCCTTCACAATATGAACCTGCCATGATGGGGGTCTCCTCACACCCAGAGCTTCTCCCCGCAGCACATGGGGATTTCCCAGGCAGGGTGGGTGCTGACCCTCGCAGGTGGCACTCACTGCCCTGGGCACACAGCACCCTGGGGCACAGGGACACTGCTCGGCATTACAGCCCATGCACAACTGGGGGCACTCGCTGGCTTCACATCCCTGCACCGTCCTGGGGAGAAGGCAGCCCTGTCCCTCTGATGGTCTGACTGGGAATCCCTGCTCTAAAGCACCCCCAGCTCCAACAGGAGAAGCTGGGAGAGACACCCTGAGAGATCCCATCAGCTGGGGAAGGTGCCAGGTTCAAAAGAGCCCTCCAGGAACCACAGCACTCTTGTCCTGCAGACAGACACTTACCGTGTTAGGGCTGGGGAATTTTCTCCCTGCAAGGAGCTCTCATTTGTCCTCCCATTCCCAACTGTCCTTCACTTAGGAGCGACTCATCCCAGCCTGGTGCCTGCGCGCAGTGCCCTGAGTCTTGGTGCTCCTTTAAGAGGAGCTGCTCCTGGGCAGAGCTGTCTCTCTGCAGCGCCTGCCATGTTGCCAGGGGCTCCCACAGTCCCAGGAGCCAGGCCCAGCTCAGGAGCAGGGCCCCAGCTGGAGAYGGGACASTTTCTGTCCCCTGAGCAGCCTCCAGGGGTTTCCGGGGCTCCAGGGCTGTGAGAGGGGAAGCTGTTTGGGTGTCTGCAGGGTGCATGGACACAGCTTCAGGTAGGAACCAGCATGGACAGGCTCAGCTGGACAGAGACAAACGCACTGCCTGGGCTCACAGACACCAAAGGAGGTCTTCATCCTCCTGGTATGGCTCTTGTCTCTGCCACCAAGACAGACACCCTGAAAGGTCTCATCTCATTGTCCTGCACTGAGCACTGCACACCCCCACCCACACAGTGTCCACAGGAAGATCTGGAAAATGTGGAGAAAACAAACCCCCTTCCCAGGAGCTTAATGACCGAGCTTGGACATATTGCCTGATAAAACATATCAAGGGTTAATGTGGCATCAGAGCCACCTGCACGTTTCCCCTGCCTACCTGTTATCTGTGATGACAATTTTCTCCTCTAATCAGCCCCTGGGGACTCTTTGCTGTTAACAACTATCAGTGGGACCAGTTAAAACTCAACCAAAAGTTGGGGGATGATTTTGACTTTGAATTCTTCAGTGTTTATTTCAGTCTCCTCTCAGTTACTGAGGTTCCTGGGCTCAGTACCAAATACACCATGGGGGTCATTAAAACGCAAAAAGTTCTCACAAATCATGTATCTTCCTCAAATTTTGATTTTGAGGAATTCTTGAATTCTTTAACATTTTGTTTAGTCTCCTCACGGTAACTGAGGTTCAGGGGCTCAGAACCATATACACCATGCGGCTCAACAAAATATGAAAAGCTCTCACCAACCATGGCTCTCCCTGTAATTGTCTTGAAGCAAATTGAAGCAAACATAGCAAACATGAAGCAAACATGGCAAATTGGAGAGGTTTGGGGAGTATAGCTGAATGGTGGAGATATCAATAACATACAAGTATTTCTGATTTTAAAGCATTTAATGTTATTACTGTTTTTCACAAGACTAATTGACAGCAGCATTCTCCAACTAGAATCAATTCAGAATGACTCCTAATGAAGTCTGGACATGTTGGAAAACCAACATCCCAGAACTCAAGCACTGTAGGGACACTCCTCCTCCCTCCTCCCCAACCTGCCTTTCCTCTCATCAGCCACCTGGGACTTCCATCCCTTTTGTTCAAGTTTTTCTGTTCTTCTGAAATCAGCAGCTGAAAGTTACAGCTCATCTGCTCCAACACTCACCTGCTTTCCTTAGAGAACTAGCTACAAATGAACTCTCTTTTTTTTCCCTCTCTATTGCAATGAAAAAGAAATAAAGCATGAAATAATATCATCAATATAAATTGTGCTCTTGGAGTGTAGGCTAAGTCCTACGATGAAGTCCACTTAAGATAAGAGACAGCCTTTYGGAAAGACAGAGAAAGCTTTAAATTTCCTGAAGTCCAAACTAGGAGCTGGGTCTCCAAGGGAACACAGAGGAACAGGAGGAGTCACAGTACTGCAGTTTCTCAATYGCCATGTCCCATGGCAATGGCCATGTCTCAATGGCAATGTCCCATAAAGATGGTGTTAGAAATCATCAAATTAAGGAGGACACACGCAAATAGGAGAGTCATACAGCTCCTACAGGTCCTAGGTCATGATSTAGGACATGTCTCATTGGGAGATCACAAACCTACCTGTTCCTCTCTACAAAAGTMGGGAAAAACCTGTGATGCAAGACCCTAGAGAAGAGGGATTTTCCTGGATGCTCTGAGAAACCCAAGCAGGACTTGGGGATGTCAAAGGAAACCCAGTGCACCAACACCAAAATCACTGGACCTTCCTGAACCCGTGGGCTGGGAACAGGAGGGGACAGCCACATCCCAGACTTCCTGCATCAGGCCTTCAGCTCCACAACTTGTCAGGGCTTCAAGGGAGCTCCCTACATCAATTCTTCCCATGACTCCARTGCWTACAGGAGACTAAGGAGACATGGAGAAGACAGAAGAGAGAAAGGGGAGAGACTCTAGGGTGCAGAATAGGCCTCCCTGTGCAACAGACACGTTGCTAGAGGCTGAAAAATCARCCCAAAGAAAGGAGGAAGGACTTGCGTCCCTTTGCAGTGCCTTGGAAAGTCACATTTCTGTCAAGCGTCCATAGGGATGGGGTTAGACTTYCTCAAGATTTGTCCCAGGACAGGACATGGTCACCAACTTCAGAATAAGTTGGTGACACATAAGTTCACAGACAATCAAAGTAAAGCTGGCAAAATTCATGGGATCTGGAAGAACTTCCCCAGATTTGCTATCTGGCTTGTCCCAGAATTTTGGAGGCTAGCAGGAACCRATGTCCAATCTCAAGCCCTCTGGAAGGAAGACATGTGTTAAGGACTGTGTGGATGTAAGGATTTATGTTTGCTCTTTCCTGACATATAATCTCTATCCTACCAAAGATCATAAAAGTTTGCTGAGGACTTTTAAAGGCAAAGGCACTGCAGAGCCTGTCTCTGAAGAGMAGATTTCTTGAGACGGCAGAATCCAATGCCCTGTTGAAGGCAGACACCAGTGGAGGAGGAATCTTGGGACCCTTTCCATTGAACTTTGGTTTACCTTCGAGGATGCAGGTGTGGGAATCTCTCTGGATCCCCGTGCCAAAGCTCAGACATGCTCGTGGAGAAAAAGAGTGGTTCTCAACATCTAAGAAGAATTTTCTATTCTCTCTCTCTCTCTTTTTTTTTTTTTTCTCTTCACTCACTGTTCCCCTGTACATCATTCTTGGGCCCCTCCAAGAAAATGCAGATGATCTGAGCCCTCCACAAGGCAGGTGTGCACTGCATAAAGATCCCCCTTGGCATTCTCTGGTCTAGGCTGAACAGACGGAGCTCTCCCAGCATCTCCTTATCTGCACCACAACATCTGCCCATGACCATCTTGGTGTCCTTGTGCTGGAGCCCTCCTCTGTGTTATTGCCTTGGTAGAACTGGAGAGACCAAATGGGATCTGCTCTACAGACACGGTCTCCACTGTGACGAAAGGAGGGGTACATTGTGTTGATGGCCGGGCTGACTGTGCTCTTACACATGAGGGAAAAACCATGAGGGAAGCCAAACCATGAGGGAAGCCAAACTATGGCACAACGACCCAGAAAGGTTCTCCGATCTCCTCCTATTCTCACAGATAATCTAAACTTCACTGGAAAAGGCCCAAAGACAGCACTTCTACTGGGACCTGCCTTCATTAAGGTGTGTGCTCCCTATCTCCAGAAGGCTTCCGAAAAACACAGTCAAGGAATCTGCTATTCTGAGACACTTTTGAAAGGGATGTGTAGATGTAGAGCTACCGTCTCCACCAGTGACCAAGGATAGGTATCTCAGAGCCACCCACYGCCCTGAGAGGCCTCACTTCTTGGGAGGAGAAATTTCTGTGTCTGCAAGTGTCTGT